TGTTAAACAATGATTGAATTCCATGACGACGGAAGATGTTGAATCACCAACCCCCCTGCAGAAAGGGTGATCAAGCCGGCCTGCCTCCAATCTCTAATCAGATTCACGACAAAATGCGGCATATCCCTGTCCAAGGATGAGCAAAGAATTCGGATGCCGCTAGCCACATCCAAGTCAACGGCTCGGGGCGTTGAACAATTAATGTTGGGTCGAACACGAGCGCGAATTCCCAAAAGCGAGGCGACTTTTCGTCAGTTTTGATAACGCGTTGGGCCGTAGCGAGATCAAACACAACCGTGGGGCACTGTGTCGCAAGGCGAAGAAAGTACTCGCAAAGAGACCAGGAACTTTCGTCGTCGTCGGCGTCGTCGAGGTCGCCAAGAGAAAACAGATTTTGCATGCTGGACCGAAGCTGTGGCATCGAACCACCAAGTGATGGGTCGTACGCCTTCAAACCAGACAGGATTAACGCAGCGATCTCGTTGTAGGAATGAGAATCGGCTTGGTCCGTACTGGCTTCAGCCCACCAGCCGGGGCATTTGGATATTGCCTGACCAAAGTGTTCCGTGGTGCGAGAGGACCAGGTGATAAATGCTTGGTTCCCAAAAACCTCCTGCCTCCAAGCCTTCTTGTAGAGCCGGTGAAACTTGGACACCTTGAGTTTCTTGTTGTACGCAACAAGCGGTCGTCCTTGCACTGCGCCGTCCTCGGCGGTTTTGGAAGGAGGGGGTTGCTTGCGTTGGCTCTTGGAAATCATGGTGTCAGGATTATCCTTGATGAAATCGGTCGACAAAGGAGTGGTAGAGTTCGATCAAGCTTTGGCCGTGAGGCCAACCTGACCTTGGGCAACTTCAGATGGGAGGAGCGAGCGACCTTTCATTGCGCCATCCTCGGCAGTTTTTGAAGGGTTTCGCTTGCTGCGGCGCTGGGGAGTTGTGATGGCAGGGTTGTCCTTTGTCAGAGCAATCGACAACTGAGTGGTCGAATTTGATCGGGTTTTTTCCTCAAGACCTCCCTGACCTTGGTCAGCTACAGTCGTGATCGAATTCGGGTCCTTCTCCGGCGGGTTCATGATGCTATCCTTCATGTTGGAGTAAATTTAATTCCTGTTTCAACAACAACAACTGTTTTCCTTTACGTACGAAACGCGCAGGACTGGTACAGTTTTGTTTTGGAGAAGCGTGTGGAAGAATATTTTCTACCTTTTTGTTTTTGATTTTTGATTTCTGAGTTTTATATGTAATGGGTTCCCAGTCTGTCACATCACTGGTCGTCATAAATTTATTGATGCGTCTCAATAATTCAATAGGATCACCCTCGATTTTCTCATTATAATCGACCTCCTGCAGAATCTTGTCCTTCATTTTACTGGTAACAAATGACTCCATAATCAGCGAATGCACATGCCAGCACTTCGCTTTGCTCCAGTATCGCTTTTGTCGATGATATTCGACACTCTCCGTTTTCAACTCTTCTTTCTTTGCCTCTCTCTCAATTTCATCTTCTTGACCAGTTAAATCCAATTTGGGTTTCAAACCATCCCAGTCTGGCTCATTCAATGCTTTGATGGAAGATATCATAATCTGAGGATACTCCAATCCCTCCATTCCAATTCGTTCGATGAGGCTTCTTGTTGGCTACCGCGACGTCGTCAGCTGGAAGACTAGCTTCCTGTGTTCCTCTTGGGGTGCCGGCAATGACGTGGACGGCGTCAGACAGGATCACTTGTTGGCGAGGAGGGGTGGCATCTGAAGGTGGAGTTCGTTGGAAGGGTTGGGAACGACCCTTTGGTGGCATCAGTTCCGTTTGCATCTGGACAGAGGGGGACGGGCGCGAATCGTGTGCCTTGGCACCTTTTGGATTCTCTGGAGTAGATGCAGGGCGCTTCTTAGACTTGGACTGAGCCTTGGATATTTTCGACTCTCTTTCTAGTCCTCGCCCAGCAGCCCCCTGACCTACTTGTCTACATATTTACCAAAGTGATTCTGGTACCGGTACATCACAAGCCACACGTACCCCAGTCTAACACATACATATTCTCCACCCCACCTTGCGTGGGAGAGCCGATCGTCCCTTGACACTTTCGACTTGCGAGCAACGTTCCTCTATTGAACGCCTCCACGTGGTTCAAACTTTGTTGACCAAAAGCAACCTAGTTCCTGGCCTCTACAGCCGTATTACACCGGCAGTTGGATACTCTAGAAGTAGCATAATACCAATTAATGATTCAGTTATATATATATATGGTCCTTTGTTTTCCAGTTGAAAACAACCTCTTTTTCGGCGTCGCTACGGCCGCTCCGTGTAGGAGAAGTACTAGAGGTGCTGTTTTGGAACCCGGATTTGCGTGTGGTTTTTAATTGTGTGTTTTTTCGGAATATTGTCCACTTTCGCACCATCAGCGCAATCCGGACTATTGCAATTACCCAGACCAACCTTCTTGCGGAAGAGACCACGCTTGAATTGGAGTCCCACGCTGACACCACTTGTGTCGGGTCCCAAGCGATGATTGTCTCGCGCTCTGGAAAGGTTGTGGATGTCTGTGGCTATGATCCTTCCACCACTAGCCGCCAACTTGAGGTCGTCACTGCTGCAATTGCATACGATTGACCAACCACCAGTGAAACCATCATCCTTGTCCTACATCAAGCCATCCATGTCCCAAATATGGACCACCATCTTTTGAGCACAATGCAATCACAGACAAACGATGTCATCATCAATGACCGCCCCAAATTCCTTACTGCCTGCCCCAATGACGACGACCATTGCATTCTTGCCCCATCCGAAGATCCTGACAATGTTACCCGCCTCCCGCTATGCATCCACGGCACCATTTCCTATCTCCATGTCCGCAAGCCTACCGCCACCAAATACACAAACTGTGAACATGTATCCCTCACCGCTGACGCACCAGACTGGGACCCACGCACCACCAAATACCGACTTGTTGAAGATTCCCTGGTCGACAATGCCGGAAGACTGCTGGAGAGAGGGGACCTGAAAGACCGCCACTTCATTTCCCTGCTCTATTCTGAACTCTCCACCAATAATCAGGGCATCATCTCCAAGCAACTACCCAAAGAGGAGCTAGGACTATACTGCACCCATCCCTGACCAGGAGACGACCAACAAGCGACCGCTTCATCCAACTCCGACGATTGAATCACAACCTATATGGCGATCTGATGAAAGCCAGTGTGAAGTCCAAGAGAATGAATGAATATGCACACATTTTTGGTGCAGACAATGGCTGGTGCCGGGCCCATCCACTTCAAACAAAAGGACAAGCAGCTGAAGCGCTATCTACCTTATTCAACAGGGACAGCGTTCCACCGGCCTTGATAGTTGATGGAGCAAAGGAGTTTGTCAGTGGGGACTCTAAGAAACATGTCCAACAAGCTGGATGTGACTTCCGCACGACTGAACCTTATTCACCATGGCAAAACACTGCCAAAGGCACAATCAGGGAGCTGAAGAAAGGCACTGCACGAGTCATGCTCCAAACTGGGATACCAAAGAGGCTATGGGATGATTGTTTGCAACATCGGGCCTACATCCGATCTCACATCGCCCTTAACATATACAACTTGGATGGGGAGGTGCCGGAGACTGTTATGACTGGACAAACTGCAAATATTGGTCCATGGTGTGATTTCCAATGGTATCAATGGGTAAAATACTACGAGGAGACTGCAAGTTTCCCTGATGATAAGATGTCCCTTGGGCGATACTTGGGACCAAGTCCTGGAATCGGGTCCCTCTTGACTGGAAAGATACTAAAGCACAATGGGAACTACCACCACACCTCCACCTTCAGAGCCCTAACATCCAAAGAAATGGCTGATTACGCCAAGAAACGCCTATGTAATGATTTCAATACCAATGTGAACGACAAGTTGGGTGACAAGGCAAAGCCTGAAGATTTCAGTGAAGATGACCTCACCCCTACATATGACCGTTATGAGGATGACTCTGGAGAAGGATTGGATCTAATTGTTGGGAATTCACGTGCGCGTGTAAGAACTAATGAAGTACTGTTGGGACTAACAAAGTACTTGTGGAAAATCCAGGTTTATATGGATTAAAAGTGGTCTTCAGGCGTGACAAATAGATAGGATATACCGGTAGCTGGGTCAGAACCAGCTTGTCACATTTTTGAGGACCAGACTGGCTGTTTTAGCCAACACTAATGCCTGACAGGGATGAGCAACAGCACAACTACTACGATCGATACCTCAATGCTGAAGTGCTGCTTGCTAGAGGGGACAAGATGGTAACTAGAAAGGTCACTGGACAAAAGAGGGAAGCAGACGGAAGTCTTAGAGGAACTGGGCATGCTGTCCCAATGCTGGACACTCGCATGTATACCGTTGAGTTCTCTGATGGGGCGAAAGCCACCTATGCAGCAAACGTACTTGCTGAAGGAATGTACCTGCAATGTGATGAGAACGGCAATCAATTCCTCCTGCTCGACTCCATCATTGACCATAAAACAGACAAAACTGCAATCCAACCTGGGAACGACAGATTCCAATACCATGGACGACTTGTCCAGAAATGTACAACAAAAGGATGGCAGCTTTGTGTCCAATGGAAGGACGGTACCACTACTTGGGAGCAACTGTCTGATCTCAAGGAATCTTTCCAAAGTGAGGTTGCTGAGTATAGTTGGTTTTCGGTTCTGGCGGACATCAGACAAGCGACAGGCTTGTCGTCGTCCAAACCGATTGACAACTTTGTGGCCCATAAAGCCAACATTGCCAACCAGCCGTGCCAACATGCGACCCATCAAGTCGTCATGCAGAGGCACCGACCATAGCGATCTCCAATCCGCCTAATAGGAAATAATCATCTCTACAGGAAATAACTATTCTAAAAGACTTGTTATCTACATGGAATGGGCAAAGCAAAAGCCTTGCACGAAAACTCAAATTTCCCAAACCTTTACTGGATGTTTGCAATCCAGAAAGGCCGGTACAAAACCCACGTACAGAACTCTTTGTACCATGTTGGAAATCGGTTCTGGCGGACATCAGACTGCTTGTCTTCGTCCAAACCGATTGACAACGTTGTGGCCCATCAAGCCATAATTGCCAACCAGCCGTGCCAGCATGCGACCCATCAAGTCGTCATGCAGAGGCACCGACCATAGCGATCTCCGATCCGCCTAATAGGAAATAATCATCTCTACAGGAAATAACTATTCTAAAAGACTTGTTATCTACATGGAATGGGCAAAGCAAAAGCCTTGCACGAAAACTCAAATTTCCCAAACCTTTACTGGATGTTTGCAATCCAGAAAGGCCGGTACAAAACCCACGTACAGAACTCTTTGTACCATGTTGGAAATCGGTTCTGGCGGACATCAGACTGCTTGTCTTCGTCCAAACCGATTGACAACGTTGTGGCCCATCAAGCCATAATTGCCAACCAGCCGTGCCAGCATGCGACCCATCAAGTCGTCATGCAGAGGCACCGACCATAGCGATCTCCGATCCGCCTAATAGGAAATAATCATCTCTACAGGAAATAACTATTCTAAAAGACTTGTTATCTACATGGAATGGGCAAAGCAAAAGCCTTGCACGAAAACTCAAATTTCCCAAACCTTTACTGGATGTTTGCAATCCAGAAAGGCCGGTACAAAACCCACGTACAGAACTCTTTGTACCATGTTGGAAATCGGTTCTGGCGGACATCAGACTGCTTGTCTTCGTCCAAACCGATTGACAACGTTGTGGCCCATCAAGCCATAATTGCCAACCAGCCGTGCCAGCATGCGACCCATCAAGTCGTCATGCAGAGGCACCGACCATAGCGATCTCCGATCCGCCTAATAGGAAATAATCATCTCTACAGGAAATAACTATTCTAAAAGACTTGTTATCTACATGGAATGGGCAAAGCAAAAGTCTTGCACGAAAACTCAAATTTCCCAAACCTTTACTGGATGTTTGCAATCCAGAAAGGCCGGTACAAAACCCACATACAGAACTCCCGCAGGATTCAGTATGGGATTTTCGTGGCGTTCAGACGTTTGCCCACAATTCCACCGACTCATAGGAATCCCCCGAATAAAAACGGACCAAACGGACATTTGTCCGTCTGTCCGATCGGACGTGTCGAACTGCTTCTATCAAGGAGCTTCCAATGAATGGTCTCCAAGAGAGCAGTAGATAATGTTGGAAATCGGTTCTGGCGGACATCAGACTGCTTGTCTTCGTCCAAACCGATTGACAACTTTGTGGCCCATAAAGCCAACATTGCCAACCACTCATGCCAACATGCGACCCATCAAGTCGTCATGCAGAGGCACCGACCATAGCGATCTCCGATCCGCCTAATAGGAAATAATCATCTCTACAGGAAATAACTATTCTAAAAGACTTGTTATCTACATGGAATGGGCAAAGCAAAAGTCTTGCACGAAAACTCAAATTTCCCAAACCTTTACTGGATGTTTGCAATCCAGAAAGGCCGGTACAAAACCCACATACAGAACTCCCGCAGGATTCAGTATGGGATTTTCGTGGCGTTCAGACGTTTGCCCACAATTCCACCGACTCATAGGAATCCCCCGAATAAAAACGGACCAAACGGACATTTGTCCGTCTGTCCGATCGGACGTGTCGAACTGCTTCTATCAAGGAGCTTCCAATGAATGGTCTCCAAGAGAGCAGTAGATAATGTTGGAAATCGGTTCTGGCGGACATCAGACTGCTTGTCTTCGTCCAAACCGATTGACAACTTTGTGGCCCATAAAGCCAACATTGCCAACCACTCATGCCAACATGCGACCCATCAAGTCGTCATGCAGAGGCACCGACCATAGCGATCTCCGATCCGCCTAATAGGAAATAATCATCTCTACAGGAAATAACTATTCTAAAAGACTTGTTATCTACATGGAATGGGCAAAGCAAAAGCCTTGCACGAAAACTCAAATTTCCCAAACCTTTACTGGATGTTTGCAATCCAGAAAGGCCGGTACAAAACCCACGTACAGAACTCTCGCAGGATTCAGACTGGGATTTTCGTGGCGCTCAGACGTTTGATGGTCCAAGCACACAATTCCATGTTTTCGGATTCCCTGCAAAACCGACTCATAGGAATCCCCCGAATAAAACGGACCAAACGGACATTTGTCCGTCTGTCCGATCGGACGTGTCGAACTGCTTCCATCAAGGAGTTTCCAATGAATGGTCTCCAAGAGAGCAATTTCAACATGTAGATAAAGTTGGAAATCGGTTCTGGCGGACATCAGACTGCTTGTCTTCGTCCAAACCGATTGACAACGTTGTGGCCCATCAAGCCATGATTGCCAACCAGCCGTGCCAGCATGCGACCCATCATGCAGAGGCACCGTCCATAGCGATCTCCGATCCGCCTAATAGGAAATAATCATCTCTACAGGAAATAACTATTCTAAAAGACTTGTTATCTACATGGAATGGGCAAAGCAAAAGCCTTGCACGAAAACTCAAATTTCCCAAACCTTTACTGGATGTTTGCAATCCAGAAAGGCCGGTACAAAAACCCACATACAGAACTCCTGCAGGATTCAGACTGGGATTTTCGTGGCGCTCAGACGTTTGATAGTCCAAGCGCACAATTCCATGTTTTCAGATTCCCTGCAAAAACCGACTCATAGGAATCCCCCGAATAAACACGGACCAAAACGGACATTTGTCCGTCTGTCCGATCGGACGTGTCGAACTGCTTCTATCAAGGAGTTTCCAATGAATGGTCTCCAAGAGAGCAATTTCAACAAGTATTCCGTCGCAACTGGAATAGATCATCAACCTGCATTCAAGTGGTGGGTTCCATACATGTTGAAGAAACGAAACGCTATCATTGCCAAAGTCAAGAGCGGATACCACAAGCGAAAACACAAATTTGGCATCAGGGTTCCCAAAACAGTCCAAGAAGCCCGTGAACTTGATCAAATCAATGGCAACGACCTGTGGGAACAGGCCCTTGGGAAGGAGATGAGCAATGTTTGTGTGGCTTTCAAGATGCTCAACGAGGAAGACAAAGCACCAGTTGGGCACACCAAAATCAACTGCCACATCGTTTTTTAAGTCAAAATGGAAACACTCCGCCGGAAGTGCCGGCTGGTTGCTGGTGGCCACATGACTGAGGCACCATCTTGGATCCAAATAAACTGCCTGGACGAAGATTTGATAATAGGTATTCAATGGAACGCAATGAAACTCAAAGAGTGCCATTGCGAGGGGACTGAATTGAATCCCCTGTGTCAAGTTGACTCAATGGACTAGAATGAATGGCTATCGCCAACTAATAGCTTATAATTTTGATTATCTCCCTTTTACAACACTGTAACTATTCAAGCCCCATTATCGCTCTGTTATCGTTCAATAACGGGCACATTAACTCACACAAGAAGATAAAGATCAATTCAGGTAAAACAACGTGCAGTGAGAAAAGCGATGATCCATCACTTTTCCACGCAAATCTCTAGAATTATCGCAGAACACTGATGACTCAGCATTCTCTACGCTAAATTAATGGCATGTAGTGGTTTGTGCACGTGCGAAGCGTGCGACTGCAGGTGTTGGCTAGCAAAGGACGGACAGTTTGGAACGCCCAAGTACGTATGCAAAGAATGTACAGTAGCAGGACAGTGGAAAGCTACGTACAAAAGAGGTTGTGAAAGAAGTTGGTGAATGAGCTGCAGCTCAGTTGAAGCTCATTCCTTTTGAAAAGACTGCTCTGTATTTGACAGAGTGAATTTGAAGTCTAGGAATAGATAGTTATTAAGATTAGGAAAGCACACGGCTCTTCTACCTGTAACACCCATCATCATGACCATTACGGACTTCACCGTGCGCAAAAAGAGCTACCGCTATCTCACCACCCAGGCGAGCTACCCAAACCATGATTCCAAGGCGGTCCTCGATGCCTTTGATCCCACCAAGGACCTTCAGATGCAAGATCTAAACAGCCTTGTCGAAAAGGGTGTACAAGGAGGCGCCCCCGCCTGGTACACAGGATGGCCCAAGGAACAGGTGAACAACTTTAATATCCGGTTAAGGTTCCACAGCTGGAGGCATGGTTGATAAACGAGGAGCTCGAGCAGGATCACTCCAAGTTGTTTGTGATGGAGGATATCACTGACGAAGATCCTGAGACGGCTTACGACCTACTGGTTACACACAAGCGAATGCCCATTCCCAAGGAGTTCTTGGATATCGCTTGGGACGGATCGTCGGCACGCAAAGTCTTGCGATTGGTGATTGACAGAATCAAGATTCTCGCCAACAGCGAGGAGCCTGAAAAAAATTCCAAAGTGCATGAAAAGTTCCGGCATTTTGTGGACCATTGGCGCGTGGCAAACACGGTCATCGGGAGAGATCAGCTTTTGAAGAACGTCGGAGAACCTGCTGTTCTCACTGCAACATCTGCCCGACGTTGGGTTTCCGGAGTAATCAATTCGGATTTTGCCAGATTGGACTCGGAGGACTCAATTGGAGATTCCCCCGACAAGACCTACGAACTGCTCACCAAGACCTTGGCAGCCGTGGAGGAGAGTAATAAGACGACCAAGACCTCCGTGGAATCGCTTTCGGAGGTAGTGGTAGCGGGCATCCATGGACAAGCATCGGACAAGGCGCCCCCAAATACAGTGGAAAAGAAGTGGTGTTGGGATATGACGAAATATGAGTTTTTACGTTCCAAACGAAACTATTCAAGTACGAGGTTTTCGACACGTGCGATCGGAATTTGATCGTGCAAGATGTCGGGATTTGACGCAAGTATGCCGGAC